TGTGCGCGTAGTACCGACGCCTCCTACATTTCCCGTGCCAACGCCTCCTCTAGAAAAAGCCTGTGGAATTGCTCGCGCTCCGGTGGAGATGGCCTGCCTTCAGTTTTAAACAGCGCTATGCGGTGGAGCTTGCGACTGACACTATCATCACGGCGGCGGACGGTACTACCAGCTAGGCGTTTTTCATCTGCGGCCCATAGGAGCGCGTCAGTCGAAGTTATTCGAGACCTGCAATTGTACACCACTGTTTCGGAGGTTATGCAAAGTGTTGCGTTGTCGCACCGTCTGCCACAAGTGACACTAGCGACCGAGAACATTCTAGTAAGAAGGAGGAAAAGAGTGTGGCAGTTGTTTTCCTTCTCATGCGGCAGGCATCTTTCTAGAGGAGGCGCGCGCGTGCCTGCCGGATTATTGTCGGTCACTTGGGTAGCGGCGGTCGTCGGAACTATGGTGGTGGCGCTACTCAAGTAGGGGTGTCTTCAAATAGGTTTTTACGTTTTTTGTAACTTAAATGCAACAAAAATAACGTAAAAGTTTAAAAAGGCGTAAACGTAATTTTAATTAACCCTACGTAAGTGACGCCGTCATTCAACAAGCAACTTTCTGATGCAAGGCATCCTTTGAAATTAGTAACAAACACCAAAATGCTAATCTCAAGGCTGAGTGCAAAGACCTTTATTCATACGTAGACAGCGTCGCCATAAATGACCGGCATTTCGCGCTCATCCGCAGGCACAGGAAATCTAGGAGGCGTTACGTTAGTAGTACTAACTAGCGTTTGCTGTAGCGCATGCCTCATTGAATAATGCACGTCGACGATGGAATGGAGAACTCGAGGAGTTATCGGCTACTGTGATCGCGTATAGTTGTCCGACTGCCAGTGCTATGGCAACCGAGACCGGAGTTTGTTCCGAACATACTAGTGACACTTTACCTAATGACAATCCTTTGTTGCTAATGTCGTACGTGCACAAGCTTGTTCGTGTTGAAACTACGGAGGGGGATGTTCTCGCCGGTTACGTTAAAACAGTCGACCCAATCTCTGAAAGGTAAGGGAGAAAGTAGTTCACTGGCGTTTCTTAGGTAAGCACGTGCGCTATTTTCCATTGGATTAGTGAAGGCAGGTGTTGGTGCTGTTAGATGAGTCATTTCAGAACGCACTGCATCATATTTTACATTAACGCAAAATCACCGCCTACAGTAGCCCTCCTGAACTTGGGACAGTTGTCATGACTCGAGTGACTGTACTTCGGCGGTGTAGTATCCTACGGCTCTGAGAGTAGTAATCATAATACGCATTTAGTTTACCCGTCCCGTATGGTCTGAAGAAATTTGAACATAATTAGTCCTGACGAGCGATATAAAGTTTAGTGTGGGCGCAAAAGCCATGTGCCCGTAGGGGCTCTTTGTGATCGACGCCTTACTGGCAACCAGTTTCCTTTTTGGTAACTTCTACATTGCTTTCACGTGATTCCTTGCCTCTATGTGTGTGTTCGTTTAACCCGCAAAATCAACACCGTTTACACGGTAACGACAACGTAACTCACTTAGTTTCTTAAAACGCGCGTGGTTGCTCCTTGTTCACCTTCTTTTGTGGCTCATGCCAAGAGAAGAAAAAGTGGATGACGTCGACAAACATGTTCAACAGAGAAGCTGATCTTCCGAATCAGAACGGAATATGGTATTCGTGACATTATAACAGTAACAGAAAGCTAACCTATTACTGAGAAAACATTCCTGGCATTGTGCCCATAAATGTTTAAAACACCCGACAGCCAACAAACACTTTTGTTTAATGCAGTGCCTTGGATGTTTCTTTTCAGAGGCAGGAAAACATGCAAAAAGTTTGGTTAGACAAGCGTTTTCTCAGATCTTGCTTTGCTCTTTATTTTTTTAGCGTCGTTCTGGTCCTGTTTGAGGACGGCAAACCGAAGGTGCTGCATGTCATCATGGGACATGCCGTCAAGTCGGTGACGGTCGTCACAGACGCGAGCCCTGCAGACAAGGAGCATATCGAGAAACTGTTCATGCCGACGCAGAAGAGCTCAGTACGGAGGAGCTTCGCCAGAGAAAAGAGAAGGTTCGTTCGTGGATGTGTGTCAACCGCATTCCAATCAGCGAGGCCACCAAGGAACCCGGTACCTGGTCATTGCCGGATCGGTGCGGCTGCTTCCACCCTACGGGCCGGACGACTTGCAGTGCACCAACTCTCTCGTGCTCGGCAAGATACGCGGAATCATGTCCCTGATGCCTGCCGACGTCGAGTCGTGGACGAGCCCTTACGAACCGACTAAGTAGTGGGGAGTTCTATGGGCATGATGTGAATGGCCAGGTTAATTGTGAGTGGCGTCATTTTCTTATTGCGGAGTTGCTGCCAAGTCGTAGACGAATCTTGGCAACACAAGAGCGTGGCGTGTTACCCTGCGGCATGGAAGCGAGCGAAGTGCAGCGTCTCAAGTTTGTTTGCGGGTGATCCACCCTCTGCATATTCCGTTGGAACTGTAAAGTTACCATTTTTGATTTTTTTTAAAGGACTGTCCTAAATACAGAAGTGAATGCAAACTGTCTTTACGAGCTTTAGCGTTGAATTTTTTCATTTCAGCCCAATTATGCTTTGTGGCTTCCTTCCAAATAACCATCTCTTGTAACTGCATCTGAACACGCTTTTGTGATTGAAGCCCAGATATATTTCTTTACATGTATGCTTCTTGGGTCACATTCAAACAACTTCAGTTTTTTTGTAATGGAATGAGTACAGTTGCTGCAAATGTATTTATTTTAAAACTAACTTGCTCAAGCAACAAAATATAGAGTAAAGATTAATATAAGCTGGTCTAAGCTACACAGGTCTATTGGCTCTTGAAGACTTGTCTGATGATAGGATAGTGTATCTCTTTATTCATCTCTATTAGAAACACAGCATCCTTTACACATACCCCTTTAATAAAACCGACAAAAGTAGCAAGCCCTTAGTCTTCATCGGGAGTAGGGGAGGCACTTGCTGAAAGACTTATCCATTTGAAAAAAAAAAAAAAAACACCTGTTGTGTGTTTTTTTTTTTTTTGTAATACATCCCCTTGCTAACCAAGTTTGAGGGACAAAGACCCTAGAGCACTCCTTTGGCAATAGGCCTGAACACAGGGTACGCAACAGCCATACACATGCTGGAAAATGGGCCCTTTATATATAAAATCACAACGCAACGATACAGTCATACATAAGACTTGCAGCAACTTGGCAACGAAATGGGTCCCCACAGAGTGAGGTTGTACGGTGCTCACATGATGAAATGCATATACTCTATTTTTCATGGGCTTTAGTTTGTGGCACATCTGCGTAATACTGGCTTGTGCGACAACCTGTTTGGGGGTCAGATAGCAGCAATACGATGTGGTTGTCTCGTGTAATTGCACAGATTACTTGTTATACAAGTTTTGATGTTGCATTGTGTACCGTGCACACAGTACCTTATGATGAGAGTTTTTGCAGGCTTCGGCTAGGAGGGAGGTAGATCCCCTTCTATCTGTACGTTTTGAAACTAGAGTACTGTGCCAGAAGCATACCTTAATTTCTTCCTACGTGGAATGAGTGATATATTATTGAATCACTTGGGATGTACGTGCCGCACTAATTAGACTAGAGGTTTGTCGATAGCGTGAGGACGGCATCGAACAAAGCTAGAAAACTCCCTGGCTACACACTATGTCCTGTGTGTTTGTAGTCATCATATGTAATCTTGTATCTCTTGGACATGTCACAAGTATTCGTTACGCCGCAACCTTCAAAAAAGAATGCCCGTCTTGGACACTATCACGCGTCATGTCGTACCAAAAATATGAAAAGAAAAGAAGAAAAAAAGCAAAACATGCCATTTGTCAGCTCAGTCATCAGTTCCTTCGCTGCTGTCTACCTGAATTGCTGTCCATCAACAGCCAAACCGGTACACCCTATACCCCGCGACAACTTTCTGTGGCTGCACAGCCAAGGCTACAGAGCCGAAGCACGCTTGTCTTACTGCGCCACAGCATGTAGTCCCTCAACGAAAACGTTTTGTATACTGTTCTGGGTAACTAAGATTTTACCATTCGTCACTTACATTTTTCGCGGAGTTTATTTTTTAATTAGTGAATAAAAACGTTGCGCAGTACAAAAAATTTTGTTTCACGCTCTCTCAGGTTTTTTTGGGGGTTTTTGGCTTCAGTCGCCTTTTTACCTCACCGCAATCCTCACTGTCAAAGATGGCGTCCGCCGGTTACAGCTCGTCAACGTCGCTTACGGAGGAAACACCGCCGCGTGCCGCGAGTCCACCAGCTGCGCAGCCGTACCAGGCGTTGTCAAATCAAAAGCTGTCCGTACCGGCCAAGAAGGTGGCGTACAACGTTACGCGCAAGTAAGGAAAAGCGACCCGCAGCTGTCTGTGAGAGCCGCATGTCGGAAAGTCAGCGAGCTCACTGGTGTTAGCGAGCGCAGTGTCTTCCGGATTAAGCTCGACGTTAACAGTGGAACCCTGAAGTCACCGAAGCGCAAGCGCCTGCGCCTCCCCGCCATGGATGACCGTGCGAAAACCGGGAAGACAAGACTGGAGCTTCACGACAGCTTCTCCCTCGCAGCTCTACGAAGAAAAGTGCATCAATACTTTCTGAGGAATGAACTCCCAACAGCTGCAAAACTGGCTCAAGATGTAACCAGTGACATGAACATGCCTAAAATGAGCGTGCGAACGATGCAAAGGCTGCTTAACAATATCGGCTTTTCCTTTCGCAAACGGAAGAGAAACTGTGAGCTTTTGGAAAGAGACGACATCATCACGTGGCGACGGCGGTACCTGCGTACCATCCGACAACTTCGCGCTCAAAAACGGTACGTGCATGATGAGTTGTGTAACCATTACATGAATAATTGAATGTATCATTCACCCAGCAACCTGGGCCCACGCGGCAGTGAATCACGTCACAATATTATTAAAAATTGCTCTCGAGTTCCCAAAGATGCGACTCGCGTTTCCTGCAGCGAAACGCGAGCCGAAACGAGAGCAATTTTTAATAATTGTGACACGAGCCGAGTTTTGCTGCATTCGCCGCGCTTCGCTGCAGATGACATGCTTCCTTTTTGTTGTTATTCTTCCAGACCCATATACTACCTTGACGAAACCTGGGTCAACGCCGGACACACAAAGAATAAAGTATGGGAAGACGCGAACATCACGACACGAGAGGAGGCCTTTCGGCAAGGCCTGACCACAGGGCTTCGCGCACCAAGCGGCAAAGGTGGCAGGCTCATCCTTTTGCACGCCGGCAGTGAGGACGGGTTTCTGAATTCTGCATGCCTTCTCTTCCGAGCTGCAAAACGATCTGGGGACTACCACACCGAAATGGACGGGCCGCGCTTTGAGCAGTGGTTCGGTGAACAACTTTTGCCCAATATCAAGCCGTGCAGTGTCATTGTAATGGACAACGCACCGTACCACAGCGTCCGCCTCGAGAGAGTTCCAACATCGTCATCTCGAAAGGCTGACATTCAGTCGTGGCTGACAGAAAAGAACATCGCGTTTTCACAAGACCAATTGAAAGCTGAGCTGTTGGATTTGGTGAACAACCACAAGAAGATGTTTTCCGCCAATCGCGTGGATGTTTTGGCGAAGGCTGCCGGTCACGACGTCGTGAGGCTTCCTCCGTATCATTGCGAATTTAACCCGATCGAACTGATATGGAGCCAGGTGAAAGGTTACGTCGCTGCTAACAACACAACATTCACCCTTGCCGGCGTTGAAAAACTGGTGCGTGAAAGCATCGATCGCGTAACGCCAGACAACTGGCTCCAGGCATGTGCTCATGTGAAAAAAATCGAAGAGGACTTGTGGCAACGTGACGGCCTCATCGACTCAAAGCTCGACCAGCTTATAATTCCACTCGGGTCAGAGTCCAGCACCGAGAGTGACGGTAGTGACAGTAATATGAGCGAACTGGAATACCTCACATGAATGCAACCACAGTCGTGAATGTAAACACAGTGAATGTAAACCATAATATTGTGTTCTGTACCTGTGCACATGTCGTTTTAAAAAGACCGACAACTGGCCAGAATATACCGAATACCAACCGAATACCTGCTTTTAACCTCATAAAAAATTCTCATAAAAAATGTTCCACGGCGTTTTCCCCGTTTCCATTGCATGATTGGGCAGTGTCACAGATATTTCCGTTGAAATAAAGAAAACGGGCACCTTAAAAATTGCTTCATCATCATCATCATCAGCCTGTTTAAGTCCACTGCAGGACGAAGGCCTCTCCCAACGATTTGCAATCCACCCTATCCTGAGCTTATCGGTCCCTTTAATGTTTTTCCCACAATAAAAGTGCACCGACATTCGTTACAAATAGAGTCTGTTCTCGTAGAGGGCTTTACGCTTTGCTATATTCTTTCGCAGTAAAAGATCGCATTACAAGTCGTCGCGCTGCGTTTAGACACAGCCTGTGTCTTTTGCGGACGAGATGAACATCAAATTGAGTACTTATTGCCAAATCCATAAATTTTTTTTCAAATACTGCTGCAAATAAAATAAATTTTATGAACAGTTATATCACTCTTGCAAATTAGATAGATATACATGTGTATATGCCTTCGATGAACGCCATTCACGCGTAATTAAGCTCGATGGTGCTTGCGCGCAGATCGTAATTCACCGCATTTTCACATGGCACCGTTGTGGGAATGCGTTGACGCGGACTGCGCTGGTGAAATCGAAACCGAAACACCCGTCGAAGAGGTCGGACTATTTTGCGCAGTAGCACATGTGCATAGGCTCCGCCCACGTAGCCTTGGCCGTGCTGCCACAGAAAGTTGTCGCCGGGTATAGTGCAGTTTGCTTTTCAACCAAAATGATTGTTGAAAGTAAATTTATGGAGGGCATAGCAACTGGGTCACAGCAGTGTCGAACCATCCACTCAATGGAACGCCATTCAACATAACGTGAAATGCGATACGCGCCAAGTGACCCGGCTTTCCTATCTACTATGGGTAAATACTAATCGATTGACTAACGGTCACATAGAGGTAAGGCCAGGAGTTACTCTTAAGTTGGCCATCCAGTTTGTAGAGATTGAAAGGTACTAATAGAGTGCGAGATGATGAAGATGAGAAAATTACATACATGCTCATTTGTCTTTATACGTGTCTATCATGTATTGCACGTTTTTTCATCTCGATTTTGTGACTGTTGATCCTTTCCAGATCATGAGTTGGTCGGTAAAAGTTGTTTAAACAGGATAATCGCTAGAAAAGTTCGCTAGGATGACATCCTAAATTCATTATGCTTTGCATACATTTTTGAATAAATATGCTATGTATTCTAGGTATGTTCACAATTGTTATTAAGGTTTTTTAGGTAATTCAACTCGTGGAACAAATTTGAAAAGAAAATAAGATACATCCATGATTGACATTAAGTGAAATATATATACAAAAAACACACGTATGGCCTGTTTGTCACCCCTGAAAACCAAGCTCCTCAGTAATTTGAAGCAGATGGAATAGAAGTACGTAGACATTTTAGGTAGGCTTGCAAAGCTTTCAGCCCCAATTTTTTTATCCAGTAAGCACTACCAACCAATTTTTTTATCCAGAAGCACTACCAAATGCTCTCATCTTGTACACAGTTTAGCCATACATGACCTCACGGACATTAAAAATATCAAATAAACTGAATATAAAACTAAAACATCATTCCACTGTAGTTGAAGTTTCAAACACGGTTGAACTAATAACAATCGTGAATATAACAACTTATGAATTTCATTTGCATTCTATATAACACAATTTGTAATGTTCCTGAATAGCATAAAAGAAGATAAGTGCTTGTATAGAATACTGGATATACTGAGGTAGAACTTTGGTTCTAGTGGAAAATTTCATTATAATGAGCTAAACTATACCATTAAAAGTCAAACGCATCAAGTAGGCACTCTACTACTATTGCAAACAAATGATGAAATTGACCGTGAACTCCAAGCTGTCTGCTCTGTATCTGAACAGATGCCTCAGTACTGAAATTAAATGGGTAACTTTAGTGATGTGATTAACTCCTCCAACAGCTCGAGCCGAGGAGCCACTTGCGATCGAGGCATTCGATGCCCATGCAGTACAATTAGGATTGGAATTTCCATTTTGGCAAGCCATTGAAAACAGGTAAAAACAAAGCAACCACACGCACTCGTACTTTCAGCAAGGCCCTGTCGAATCTTTTAGTGCCTAACCTGCAGTTGCTTCTAAAATGTGTGCATGGTGTTGGTCTACACTTTTAAGCCATAAAGTATAATAGAGGTTAGGCATTGTGTGGCCTTGAACAGTGTTAATTTAATAGTGAAAGTATAGGAAATGTATTGCATGTCACCACATGGTGGTGACAGTGGCTTGTGACATTGTCACAAACTACACATTGCCACAAGCAGGTGGCCACATATGACAATATCACATGCAGCTACAACAGGGACATTTTAGCTGTGGCTACACTGTAGCCAGGTGAGAAAAATGTTTTTTTGGCTGTAATTTTTTGTTAAACTGAAGACAGTACAGGAATTACTCGAATATAACGCGCACCTTTTTTCTGGTTAAGCGAGTTCATAAATCGCATGCGCGTTAGAATCGAGTACGAAAAAAAAAAAATGAATACGGTCATTCTATTGCCATCGGCATTTTCAAAATGGCCGCCCCCTACACGCGTCAGCATGGTGCGTCAGCCATTTCTGCCTAGGTGTTTCCCATGTGCGGCACATCGTACGTTTGCTGAGGAGTTCGTCATCTTGTAGTGCATTAGCATCGACGGCATGGATGGGCGGACTCCAAAAACTCCAGTGCACCACAATGGCGCTTTTAAAAGAAAAGTCATCGCATGTGCAGAAACGAACGAAAATCGGGCCGCATCGCGGTCATTCGTAGTTCCCGAAACGTGCGTGCGGGACTGGCGGAAACAAAAGCAGAAGATTGTCGACAGCAAAGCTTCACGCAAAGGCTTCATTGGACCACAGTAGGGTCGGTTTCCGCAAATTGAAGAGCTGCTCGGCAAGTATGTGCTTAAGCAACGAGCGGCACAGCGGCCCGTGACGACAGAACTGCTCCAAGTGCGGGCTATGCAATTAGCCTTAGAAAAAGGTCTAATGCAGAGCCAGCGTAAAGCGAGCAGGTGCTGGCTAACTAACTTTATGAAGAGGAAAGGCTTTTCCCTCCGAAGGTGAACAGGCATATGGGAAAAGTTTTGCGGAGGAGTACGATGAAAAGCTTCAGAGTTTTCAGAGGTTCGTCCTAAACTTGCGGCACAACAACGGCTACTTGCTTGGGCAAATCGGGAATGCTGATCAGACGCCTCTTTACTTCGACATGCACGGCACCACAACCGTCGAGGAGGGGGTGAAGCAAGTTCGCGTGCTGACATTGGTCCACGGTAAAACTACAGTGACTGCAATGCTCTGTTACACGTCAGATGAGCACAAGCTTCCCCCGTACCTCGTATTTAAATGGAAGACGCTCCCGAAAGGAGTCGTTTTTTTGAGTGGTGTGATTGTGCGGGCCATCGAGAAAAAATGGGTGCGCATTGCAATCGATGCCTTACTTTTTTTTTTTTTGTCATGGAAATCGGGTGCGCATTACAATCGAGGGTGCCGTAGAATCGAGTAAATACGGTAGTTCAACATTAGTGAAAGTCTTCAGCACATTGCTACAACTACGTGCGTACAAATACTTCAGCGCAGCAATGTTCCTCAAGTCGAAACACGTTTCAATGTACGCAGGGAGCAAAGCCGAGTGGGTCATCTCAGAGTTTCACAGGGCTAACATAGAGTTCTGCAAAACACAGCTGCACTACATTTCCATACATGGGTTGCCTCTCACGTCATTCAGATATCACAAGTAAAACAACTTAAAAACACCAACTAAGTTCCGACGATATGCGATACCAGTAACAAGATACAAGGATAGGATCCGCAATATCAAAAAAAGGTTCACTTACTATTCGCGCAATTTTTTCTGCACATTTTGCCGCTGCAGATACCGGCTCTCTAGACATGGCTGGGGATAACGTTTTCAGGAGCAATCGTAAAATTTTAAAAATCTCTTGCCCCTTTCTCCCTTTAAGGGGGGACGTGCCTTTGAGAACGAACTTTCTTGTTTCTGGTCGGATGATGATGAAAATCAGCACAGACACTAAGAATGGCCTCACCGTGCATCCATGAAAATTTCGAGGCGATAGCACAAATACTTAATGAGAGACAAATTATTTTTCAATTGAACCTCGTGGAGGGGCTGGAGGATTTATAAAATGACAAAAATGGTTGGTAATTGCTGTATCCACTGCCAAATGTATGTTAAAGGGGGCTGCGTTCTCAAAATAACTTATTTGCAACACTAAAACTTGTAGTTTACGTTTTCTCCAGCGACACTGCATTGAGCACACTTGCACTACAAACAAGAAACTATAAAAAATTCTTTAAGGAGTACAATGAAAAACTAAGATCGCAGCCCCCTGAAGCACAGTTCAAGGAGCATTACAAAATAAACGGAATCAAAATCCGTACAGTGGTTGCCCAGATATCTGCTCCACGAGCCGAGTATAATGCCAAAAAAACAGTATTGAGAAAACTGCGTTTGAAGTTTCAACTTCATTTTACGTCTCTAAAACACCTAAAGATTGTGATCTTAGGTTTGTCTTGTGATATTTGACTTTTCAGGTATCTGGTCCCTGACCAGTGTGCCTTGGTTGCCCCCTTTTTTTTTCCCCCATAATTTCCTTTTCATGTTTTACAAAGAACAAGTATGGATTTCAAACCAAGTTCTTTGTATGAAGGAGTGGTGTGATAGGCATGACAGAAAAGATTGTAATTGAATGAGACCATGTACTGAATTGATTACACATATTTCTTGCACCGAAGTTGTAATTAGCTTAATTACGTTCTTGATTATAAGTATTCACTGAACATTTCTTTATTTATAAAGGTTTATTGCATCAGAAAAATGGATCACACCATGACAGCCTATGCCTTCTTTCCAAATAACAAAGTTATGGGCAGAAAACTGGTGGCACAGGAATTTTTAGAGTATATTTAATGACGTAGAACGGGCATATAAAAATCCTTGCCCCTGATTTATACGTGCTCTTTTGCCGCTCTAGCTGTGAAACGCATCATCATACAGCCGGTCGCGGAAACTCTAATCTACAGCAATTAATTAACCTTGGAACATTCGTAGACGTTCGTGGCGATATCAAGCACGGCTCCAAGCACGTCTCAATCGCATCACAAAAGCTTTTTGACAGCACTCATATGACCGTGGAGTGCGCGGCCGCGCGGACAGTGCAGCCGGCGCGTAATGCACTTGCCGGCGGCGTTCGATGACGATGTGCGAAATGTGTAACTACGAAGACAAAAAATCGGCACGCACTGCACTTGGCATCGCATTTTCGAATGACGACGCGCGAAACTGCTAGCCGCTGTTCGGAGCAATCCATGGCAGTGAAGGGGGGGGGGGGGGGGGCTGACGAGCTTGACTGTGTTGTCCGCTGCCGATGCGTACGTGATTCCCGTGATTCCCGTACGTGATTCAGAGGAGCTAGCGAGTGATGTGGTACATTACTTGCAAAGAAGCACGTCGCCAAGAGTGCGCTTGCGCGTCGCTCCTGCTCGCAGTCTCGCTGTCAGCGGAGTTAGGCCGAAAGCCGACTCCGATGACGCGCCGCACTCGTAGACCGCCGCGCGCCCGCTCGTAATAATCTGATCGTGCATCCGGTGCGGCCACTCGTAGCAATCAGATCGTGCCGCCGCTTTCAGCTTCATTGCTTGCAAAGAAGCACGTCGCCACGAATGCGCTAGCGCGTCGTTGCTGCCCGCAGTCTCGCTGTCGGCGGAGGGCTGAAGACGACTCCGATGACGCGCGGCGCTCGTAGACTGCGCTCCCGCTCGTAGTAACCTGATCGCGCATCCGCTTAGTTCTCGTAACTAAAGCGTAGTTATATCTTAAGTGATTATCAAGCCGTGAACACGTCACGAAGTGGCGATTTTCGAGAGCCATGTCCTCGCGACGCACAAGCAGCAGACGACGATCTCCCAGAGCGAGCATCGGGCCAATGGCGAGGCGAGCTGAGGCAGCACGGCGGCCACAGCCAATCAAGGGCCTCAAAGCGACCTTCAAACATTTGCTTTTTGCTCGCTTGTTGTTAAAGGGAGTAGCCAGCTGAGGCGGGAAAGTTAAACACGGAGAAATGCTCTTTCCGATGCGCCCAAGAAGTCGGCTCCCGGTCCAAGCATCGCGAAGCTACAATTTTTTGAAAATCGCCGTTTTCTTGCCATTTCCAGAAAAAGTTTCGCTACCTATGTG